ATTAAAATATTACTTAAACGAGTCAAACTTTGAAATTACAGAAAATTGATTTTGCGAAACTAAACTCTATATACAATAAACTAGCACAGATCATATAATACCATATTAGACACTAGTGACAATGATAAGTGACGTCACGCACCGTAATTGGCATTTGTAGTCACGTGATTTTGATATTAAAAATAATAATTAATTATTTTAAAAATAAAGAAAAATCATGATTTTTATTTGTGTATTGTATTCAGCCCTTTTTAACGTCCCACTACTGGGCACGGGCCTCCCTTCAATACGAGGGGGATCAGGCCATAGTCAACCACGCTGGCCAAGTGCGGGTTGGCAGACTTCACATGTCTTTCGAAAACTTGCTGGGTTCTCTCAGACATGCAGGTTTCCTCACGATGTTTTCCTTCACCGTAAGGCAAGTGGTCATCATGTTAGAAATGATTCGCACATGAAAATATCAGAGGTGCGAGACCCGGGATTTGAACCCGCATCACTCGGTTTTCCAAGCGAGCGCGTTACCACTGGGCTACCACTGCCTAGATAGATAGATTTTTATTTAATTATTCCTTTTAATAATAAATTCTAGCCCCATAAACTACCGCTATACAAAACATCACATCATTTTATTACTACAGTCCAAGAACCTATTACCTATGTTATTACATATCATTTTATACTAGGGTGAGTAATGTTCGAAACATAATACGAAAATAATAATTAAATCATCTCTCTAATGTTTGCTTTAAACAAGAGGGTTTTAATATTATATTTCTCATTGTTATAAAATAAGGTTTAAATTATAAAAGTAAATTAAGTTATTGATGTAAATGAGAGGTCAATGATATCAAACAGGTGCTTATATTTAGTTACAATATAATTAAAAATTGTAACTAAATATATTGATATTGTGGCAGTGGTAGCCCAGTCGTGACGCGCTCGCTTGGGTAACCGAGTGAAGCGTGTTCAAATCCCGGGTCTCGCACCTCTGATATTTTCATGTGCGAATCATTTCCAACATGATTGCCACTTTTAACAAGTTTTCTAAAGACATGTGAAGTCCGCCAAACCGCACTTGGACAGCGTGGTGGACTATGGCCTGATCCCCCTCATATTGAAAGGGGGCCTGTGCCCAGCAGTGGGACGTCAGAAAGGGCTGAATATATCATTAAAAATATTTTTTAATTACATATATTTGTTAAATTATTGACATATTTATACATCTTTAATAATAATATTATGTCTAATCTCTTTATTAGTTGTAATATTAATTGATGTTGAAATACTATTCGCAATCTTATACTCAACTAAACGAAAACTATTAAAGGTAGCATGTTTTCAACCCTTTTAACGTTCCATTGCTGCCCAGCTGTGGGTACGGGCTTTCCCTCAATATGAATGGGATCAAGCCTTTGTCCACCAAGGTGGCCAAGATGGCCGAGCGGATTGGTGGACCTCTCATATAAGCTTCTTTTAGACACGCAGAAGTATTCCTCACGATGTTTTCCTTCACCGTAAGACAAGTGTCATCATGTTGAAAATTATTCGCACATGTGATTTTTTTTTATGAGACTAAGGGGGCAAACGGGCAGGAGGCTCACCTGATGGAAAGGAATACGCTCTCTTCTTGAAGGTGGCCAGGTCGTAGCGGTTCGGAAAGACCATTTACTATTTTGGCGCGATGTCCGATGGTGAAAGTCAGCAGCCGGGATCAGTCCGAACACCGTGATAGATGCGGTAGAAGATGCAGAGTGATCCAACATCTCTACGCAGAGCGATCAAGCCGATCGGAGAGAGCTTGATCGTCGATAACTCGAATCGCCCTACGTTGAATGCGGTCAAATGAAAGATATTTTCAGGTGCGAGACCCGGGATTTGAACGTGCTTTAATTGGTTTCTCAAGCAAGCACGTTACTACTAGCCGTGGTTAATTAATTTAAACTAATAGCGTATTTTTTCAATAATAAACAATAATTAAACAGATAATTTGTTTGTAAAGCCTATCTTTTGTAGACGAGTTAGAATGACACTCAGCGCGGGCGACTACTTAAGTACCGTTTCAAAACTCCTTATTTAAGAAAGAGTATAAAATCGCTGACTTGAGGTTGGGCTTTGTTGTAGAGAATATTTTAGATTATTTTTGATCAAGTTTTTATGTTCGGCCAACGTTTTAATTGATTGGAATCATCATTAAAGACTAATTAAAAACAATTGTTCACGGTGCCATTTGATTATCCAAATTATTACCTAAAATATGATATAGAGATTCAGTTAACAATAGTATATGCGTCCTGAAATATGTATATAATTTCAATATTTTTGTTAGTTTTGTTGTATTATTTATCCAGTTATAAAGTGTCTGGGCAAGAATTAGACGCTTCAGTGTATGACCTTCGCGACGGACCACGATTGTTTAAAAAGTACATTAAAAAGTTTGGCAAAACCTTTAAAGGACAAAAGGATTATTATAATCGTTATGATCAATTTATGAAAACTCTAAAAACCATAAACCAGATTAATTCTCGGCCGGGATCGCGGAAAGTTCGTCTTAATCAGAACGCGGATTTATCTGACGACCAGAAGAGATTTATAAATGTAGAGAAAACTACGAAAATTGATCCTGAGTTAAAACTTCTAATGCAGAAAAAAAGACCACGCGTTGATTCGTTATTTCAGTTTATATATTAAACTAGCATTGCCCGCGGCACCACCCGCGTTCAGGTGACCAAAAACTAAATTCGTAGGTTTTACATATATAATACATATAGTATACTCTTTCATTGCAGTTTTTGTGTTTTTTCTCAGAAATGAGATATTTTTCCAGGGTAAAAAGTATCCTATATGTTGACCCGGATAACCAGCTATCACCATACCAAATTTAATCAAAATCCCTCCAGTGGTTTTTCTGTGATGCGGTAACAGACAGACAGACAGACAAAAATTCTAAAAACTATAGATTCGGCTTCTGGATCGATAATAATGTTTATTTCAATAAGATTTTCCAAAAAATATTTAATGTAAAGATTCGGCTTCGTTACAATTTTATTATATGTACCTGTAGATGTTAATTATTATGATGTTTCTAATATATAATAAAAAAAATCACGCACAAGAAAATATAGTTAAGCCCAATTTTTAAACTAGGTGTCTTTAAATCAATACTATTTTTTAGATTTACTCAAAGGCGCGCATATATCCATGTATGTATATATGGATATATACATACAAAATTAAACATACAATAAAATTTTCCATACGGTGTTTTTATTGAAAACTAAATCTTCTAAAATCTTGTCACTTTACTTCTGTGTTACATTCATTAATACTAAATTATAATATACTAGCGACTCACCCTCGCTTCGCTCGAGTTCGTCCCTAGGTTGCTTCCCAATACAAACTTTCATTCCCATTTTCACCCCTTAAGGGATGATTTCCGGAATAAAACGTATCCTATGTCCTTCCCAGGGCCGCAAACTGTTTTCTTACCAAATTTCATCTAAATCGGTTCAGTAGATCCAGAGATTACCCCCTACAACGTCACAAACTCACAAACTTTATCTCTTTATAATATTAGTATAGATAAAGTACCGATTTTCCATTAAACTTGTAGGTACGATTAACTAAACGTAGAACAGATTTGTTGACGCTAAAGTTTATGCTTAATTTCGCATCTCAAAGTTAAACAATACGAATAGCTAATAGGCTTATTAGTTTTAGTTAAGAGCTGAACGTGAATATTACTTTAACTTCTAGTAATTGTATTTTGGCAATTCGATCGACTAATTATAAAGAAAAACATATAAATAATACCAAAAAAACACCTACTGGCTTACTGACTGATTAATTACGAACTCTTATAAATAACTAAAGCTGGTCAAATGATAGTTTTTTATGTATTATATATATATATATATATATATATATATATATATATATATATATATATATATATAAAAGTAAGAGAGGAGAAGGGTGTTAAACGTGATATGAAAGCATTGTATGATTTCAAATACACACAAACTTAGCAAATAAAGCCGTAGCTGACGTCAGCCTCTATATTATTTTATTACAATGAGTAAATGTTTTAAATATATGAAATAAAAATTTTTCAACATTTTATACTGTCTTTATAAACACATCGGTTGTATTGTAAGGCTTATATAGTTTTAATATATAGGTTTATGTCCCTCGAGTGTCTCTACTTTTATTGTTGAGATATTTATTTCAATATTTACTAAATGATAATAATTCTGTTACAGACTTTGTAATTTTGATAATTGTACACTTTTGTTTGTAGACTACAATCAAATTCACTATATTTCAATTTGTTTCACTAATATTTATTTTTAATTTGGTACTAATCGGCTGTTATATAAAATAAATATAATTTATTATATTACATGAACATTATTTTATGATTATTAATAATAAATATAAATATTTTAGGACATTAACACACAGAAGCATCTAGTTCCATGGTAAGCTACGAGGCTTGTGTTATGGATACCAGATAGTTGGTACACTACACAATACACATATAACTTTAAATACATACATATTATAAATATAAACACCCATGACTGGAGTATAAACATGCCCCCAGCGGGACTCGAACTCGCGACCACTGTCACAGGAAATACAAACTGAGCCAAAAGTGTCGTCTTAATGCCATAAATAGTTTCCATTGTCATACAATACTTATTTGAATAACTCATTGTGTTATAGTTTGGTACTATTGAGATTATGTTATAATTTTTAGCACATTCATTTTACTTTAGATAGACTGGCGCTTGTGAATCGTAGAATTTACTACAAGAAAGTTTAGAAAAGCTGCCTTGTTAAGTGACAAGTCTTTTAAATCTGACTCTGATATAAATAAGATGTTGTTCAATAGATACCTCTAGATAGTTATTTTTAGAAATATCTTTATAGCTGAAATAGTTGGGTTTGCTAAGAATAAAATGTAATTATATATTATAACTATACATATTTTTTACTTAGTAAAAATACTCATTAGGCTCCTTAATAACATTTGCTTTTTCATCAAGAGTCAAAGTTCCATTACCATCGAAATTATGTTTGTTCAGTTTAACTAACGTCTTGACAAAGCGATAAAAATGAGCTGTATAGTCATATTGTTTCTTGTGATTTTGTTTTCCAAATTTTTGGAGAAAATCTTTGTACAATTCTGTTGCATTATCCAAGTTGTAAAGCACTGAGGTATCAACATTTTTAGTTTTTTGTTTCGCAACAATTTGTGTATCTTCAATATTATAAATATTATTATCTGAAATATTTAAGAGCTGGTTAACGTTGAATTTACTAATATTAAAAAAACAATGAAATATTTTTTTGTCACAAAGTTATTTAAAAATACTGGCACGATTTAAAGTTAAATCGAGAGGCGTTATAAATTTATATTCAGAGGCTTAGCCAAATTGAGTTTCTATAATCGCCATCGCTAGTAAAAAGCGAACTTAAATTAGCTCTGGTGACGTAAAACTCCATATTGACGTTATAAAATGTAATAATGTGTTTGTTGGTTTTGCTCTTCTAAACGTAGTGTAACCTTAAAATATAGGGATGAACTCGAGCGGAGCGAGGGTGATTCGCTAGTGGATACAATAAAATCCTTACTGAGTCGAATCTGTACATTAAATATTGTTTCGAAAATCTTATTGAAACATTCATTGTTATCGATACAGAGGCCGAATCTATAGTTTTCAGAATATTTGTCGCTCTGTCTATCTGTCTGTCTGGAAACGCATCACGAGAAAACCACTGGATGGAATTTTTATACCTATCTACTATAAATGTTGTTGTTAAAACGAAACATGCAAGAAAGGAACATGGTGGTATTGACAATCACCACCATTTTTTCTCAATCTTGCGGTATACAATAAAACTAATATACCTATATATTAATATGTAAAACCTAAGAATTTGGTATTCCGTTGTCAGAACGCGGGCGGAGCGGCGAGTAATGCTAATATGTACTATAATATCTTAATATCACTGTTACTTACAGGGTTTCACTCTAATCGCATATTGTTCTTCAACTTCTTCAGGGTCTAAATCTGCGTACTGATTTAGTACAAAAAATGCATTATTATCTGTCGTCTCCTCATTAAGTTTTTCAACAGTGTTCAAATTTCTGACAAATAACTTTAGTCGGATTTTTTCTTCATCTGGCGTTTTGTAAACCTTATTATATTTTTCTTTATATAAACTGAACACGTCAGTTGAATTTTCTTCAGAGTAAAATGTAGCTGAAATAAGCTTGAAGCTTATAAAAAGCAGAAATATGATGTGAAATATCATATTTGGTTAAAGTCTAATGAAACATTTACCTCATGTTATTTACAAAACCAACGCGAAAAAGATCAATTACTTGTTATTTTTCAAGCGTAAAATTACTAAATGAGTTTGCTTAAGTTCAAGTAAATTGATGATTAAAGTAAAATTTATACAATACTGCTAAAACTACAAATAAATCAAAATTAATATAGAAAACCTTCATATATTCACTGTCCTACGATTTTTTTATGTTACTCCTCATATTCTATTACACTTTTTCTTACATTTTGAATAATAGTGACATATTTTTTCAGTGATGTGAATCGACTCATTTTTCCAACTCTGCAGAATTGCTTCTACTTGTAATATAGACCGTAAAAAGTTTGTCTTTGCAAAGTGCTCTTTATATAAAATCTCTCGAGATAAGCTAGCTTATTCATGCACCAGTAAATTTGATAGGGACATCGTTTGTTTGTCATAACTAACCTCTTTAAGAATAGGAATAAAAATTTTAGTGAGAGTTAATTTTTTTATTATCTCACGATCATGTACGAATCGGTTGAGGTGCTGAAAAATATTAATTAATGATCGATATTACATAATAAATTATTTTCTTTAATATAATCTACGGATATACTTTAAGAGTATTCTTTTATAAGGACCTATTACTTATTTTTGATTTCAGATTGAATAAGGATCCTAATTCTAGTCTTAGTAGTAAAAAAATTTGATATTTTTCTTAAGAAAACGCAGCAATGGCTCGGAGACGACTTTGTGTTGGACTATTAGAATCAGGAAAACATGTGTCTGCTGAAACACTTGTGCACTTTAATATTTCCTCCGCTAATAGCTAGTCTCCGTGAGTTTGGCCGTCGTGGTTGAAATTTGGTCAGAATGACTTTTACTATAAGCAAACAGATAAATATACTATCGGGTAAATATTCTATTTCCTCTATTCTATATGAAGTTTAATACTTAGAATAAGTAAAATATATTAGCACAACTATGTTAATAACTACTCTTACTTAAATTAATGGAATATATGTGTGCGAATGCATATTTAGAATTTTTTAATGAGAAATCTTTCTATAAATAATTTTACTCAATTTGTGTAGCGTGTAATGAGAATTTTATCGGTTATCGGTTTTTACCGCGGCGAAACATCTCATCTCGTCATCGTTGCAGAAATTTGCAATTTTTCCTCACAAATTCTGTTCTGGTGAAAAATGCGATGGACTGCTATTACTGCCTTCAACGAAAGTCACGTACAAAAGACATGGACGGTAAAAGAACGATTATCACAAGAGCTACTCGGATGTTGCTAAAAGTAATTTTATTTGAACATCTATTAGTTATAAAATATTATATTTCTTTACAGACCGTTTTGCCATATACGAGTATATTACTGATTATATAGGTACTTGACTTACTACTTCGACGACATGTTTGGCTCAGTTTGTAGTGACCCTTCATGCTATGCTAGCGGTCGCGGGTTTGAGTCCCGCTGGGCATTCATTTGTGTAATGAGCACGAATTTTTGTACTCCAGTCATTGGTGTTTATATTTATAATATGTATGTATTTAAAGTTATATATGTATAATGTACCAACTATCTGGTATCCATAACACAAGCCTCGTAGCTTTACATGGAACTAGATAGTGCTGTGTGTTAATGTCCCAACATATTTATTATAATACTGTCTTAGATTTACGCGAATATTTGACATTTGAAATAAAACTATCTTTTCGGATTTTGTCGCGGATTTATTTGCATTTTTGTTTCCCGACGTTTCGAATGCTTTACAGCATCCATGGTCACGGGAGAAACTGAGGCACAGAAATCTTAATAATAAGCTAATAGAAGTGGCATAGACGCGTGACCTTGTCGCCGCGCATGTGACTCGTAGGTCAGCAGCGCGTGTAAAGCGTTTGTTGCGGTAACTAGTGTTATTTGAGACACGGAGAGGTAAACATGGTGTTTTGCAGCATATCCAACTGCGGAAATTCTTCCACAATTTGTAACTTTACAAATAAAGGGATAACATTTCATATGTAAGTACTTAATTTTTGAAATAATGTCGTTTTTAAGAAATATAGCCAAATCAAATGTTTTCACCACCACTACTACGATTATCGCAGGAAAACGTTTTTTTTTTAATTCAATAACCATTACCACTTAAGCTTGTTCATGTATACTATTACAACTGCTAAAAACAGCAATGAAATAATATTCATGCGTAAAGAACAATATTGTCGCGTACGTAAATTCCAAGGACACGCCGCACAAGTTAGCCGCGAATTAGTGACGTGCCACCACAATTTTTTATCGAAAATTTATTACGTTTGGCTTAATATTTTTCGTTAAATATTTAATTGTTACATCTCATTGTGTATGTTTTCTTTCTGTCTGAATAATTTATAAAAAGTCATTTATCAACGATTATCTGTAAATTCGTACTTTTAAACTACTTTTTCATTCAGAAAATTATTAGGAGGTAGGCTTATTATTGTTATGTATATGGGTAAGTCAAAAACAGTATGCGTTGAATATCCTTGTATCATTGACATGTTCTGCATTTACCAAATATTTTTTTTATGTCAAAATAATTATACAAATTATTATATTGTAAGGATAATTGATTAAATTTGATCAATGAGAAGCCGGGAAAGAAAAAGATAAAGAAAAAAGATACGTACAATATATTTATGCATATTTATAGATATAAATGCGTGGGATTAATGTCTTGCTGTGTCTCACGTAGGATAAATGGATAAATATTGTAATGCAATAAATATTGTAATCAAATATTTTTTGAAAAGAGCAACTGTTGAGTATCTCGCCGGCTCTTCTCAGCAGATCAGCATTCCGAGTCGGTGGTAACATACTCACAGACTTACAGACTGACATTTAATGTAAAGTTTAATCATGTAAAAATGACGATTCAAAAGAACTTGTAAAAGTCTATTTGAATAAAGAATATTTTGATTTGATTTGATTGAGTAAATAATTCTAAAGGCGAGTTGTTTGATAAACAACATAGAAATTCTATAAATTTTTTTAAGTCATTGTTCAAAATGTATGGATATATATATATATATATATATATATATATATATATATATATATATATATATATATATATATATATATATATGGATTTTAACAAATAGTTTGCATAACTTTTGTATAACTATATAATAATAAAAAAATTTACTTACATTTAACGTTTTATTGTATTCCCTTTATGAAAATAAATAAATCGTCTAAAAGCGCGTCGAGGAATGAAACGAAACACTTTCAATAAATTAGTTACCTATTGTTGCAAGACTCAACGGAAAATTATCGATATGAGCTTTGTACTGCACTAAAAGTGAGCGCGCGATATCATTCTGTGCTTTTCGCACACGTTTATTATTGGTCACAGGGATCACGCCATCTGAGATTATGCGTTTTTAGAAAATATTGCGTAATGTCATCGCTTAAAGTTTAATTTTTGTTGCAACAATGCAAAATGCATGTGTGGGCGATAGTGTGTATTTATTGTTGTCAATGTGTTGGTAGCTGCAAGCCGGCGACACGCGTCCCAGTACTAAAAGACCGCAATGGTATTTCTATTACCTTATTATTAAGATTTCTGTGGACTGAGGTGTTACATGTCTTGAATGTATAGTTGTTACTGACGGTTAGGTTAGTGGGTAGGCTGTCTGTAACAACTATACATTCAAGACATGTAACACCTCAGTCTCTCCCGTGACCATGGATGCTGTAAAGCATTCGAAACGTCGGGAAACAAAAATGCAAATAAATCCGCGACAAAATCCGAAAAGATAGTTTTATTTAAAATATTCATTATTATTAATACAACTTTTTTTAAATTTACTCTTTTAGATAAATCATGCTTGCATTTTATTTACCAAGCTACTTTTTTAACTAAGAATAATTTTTACGCTTTTATTTTTATATTTATCTATTAATATAATATTAATAATAGTATCATACATTTGTCATATTCCAAGTTCCAACGATCCCATAGTTAATTTATTGAATTTACAACAGAACTTGTTTAACATCTGTTTATAATTGTTCACTTAATAGCCAGGACATTGAGCCTTAACTTGGAGATAGTTTGATGTAGTTTGTCGAACTTTCAAAGTAGAGTGCATGTTAATGATAACTTTGCTTCAGAATACAATAATACTTACTTTAAGTTAAATATAAGTTACTATTATGAAATATGTGAGTGCTTATGTACATGTGTATGTTTGTTAATTACGCTGAAACGTCTTCACAGATTTGGATGGAGTTTAGTACGTAGATGACCAAAAACCATGGAGACCATGGAGTAACACATCACACACAACATGTTACTTACTGTTTGTTAGTCACCCGAGCGAAGCAAGGGTAAGTTGCTAGTATTATAATAAATTCTCATTTCAATACGGCATGTAATATTGTAATACTATGTATTTTATTTCAAAGACTGTGGTTTAACATAGGATAATATAATATATGAAAATCTTTAGCATTACATTATTGTATAAGTAAATGGGATCGATTCTCTTCAAAATAAAATTTAACTTTCCAACCTGCTGACATTGCACTCTTAGTTTAAATGGGTCAAACTGAATAGTGGATATCTAATGGTCAGCGAGTTCCTCCCCTTTCTTGTACCTGAACTCTTGAATGGATATCAACCTCCTTAAGTGATAGTCCCAAAGTATTACAAAAGAGTTTTTCTATCCTAGTACTTTTAAGATAATTACATTATAAATAAAACTAAAATTACATCTATAATATAAAAATGAATCGCTGAATGTGTTGGTAAGCGCAAATCTCGAGAGCAGCTGAACCGATTTCGCTAATTCTTTTTTTAGAATATTCCTTGAAGTATGAGGATGGTACGAGAGAAAAAATTAAAAAAAATGCCTGAAAAAGTCTAAAAACAACACTTTTCTTTACTCCCATACAAAAGATTCGTAATAATGCTTAAAAGTCAATTTGAACTTTAATACCATACCATAAA